GGGCGCTGCCGGGCGGGCCGTCCCGGCGGCGCCTTTGTCTGCGGTCTCCCCGTGGCGGCCGGAGGCCGCTGACCTGAGCCGCGTCTAGTGCTGGAGGTCCGAGAGTTTATGTAGTTGAAGAAAAAATAGACTTTGAGATTGTTTATTATGCCTAATAGAGGAAAAAAAATCATAAAGTGTAGCCTGATAACTTTCTGTGACTTCTTATAGTTGTTTCACAACTAAATTTCAGAGGAAGGTAAGTGTTGCATTGAGGCATGTGAAACTGAAAATACCTGTAAATTCCCCTTCAGGTTTTTTTTCCTGTAATTTACTGGAGAACCACCACACATACACCTGGTTTATAGTAAAATGGATCTGAGTCTCAAAGTATATTCTGTTTGTACCTGCCAAATTCTTTTGCGCTTACTGTAACCCTATTGTGTCAAGTATTATGCTGCATCAAGTAATTATGTCAAGTATTATGCTGCATCAAAAATCCCCATAAAATTATGTATTTTTATATGTGAGCCAATGTTAATTTTTAAGATCTTTCTCCTCAGGCAGTCTCTAAACCCTTCCTGATGCCGTGCATCAGGACGTACAAACAGTTGGAGTATAAGCATCTCAGATAAGTGCTATAATACTACACTGTTGGCAATTAGGATTTCTCTTTTCTTTTTTCCCAAGTAACGTGATAGGATGAGAGGAAACGGCCTCAAGTTGCACCAGGGGACGTTTAGATTGGATATTAGGAAAAATTTCTTCACCGAAAGGGTAGTCAAGCATTGGAACAGTCTGCCCAGGGAACTGGTTGAGTCCCCATCCCTGGAGGTATTTAAAAGACATGTAGATGTGGCACTTAGGGGCATAGTTTACTGGTGTTAGGTTAATGGTTGAACTCGATGATGTTAAAGGTCCTTTCCAACCTAAATGATTCTATGATACTGTCACTACAGGCCTTGGTAAAAAGTCTCTCTCCATCTTTCTTATAAGCCCCCTTTAAGTGTTGAAAGACCACAATAAGGTCGACCCAGTCGGTCCATGTCTTTCTTATGCTGGGGACCCCAGAGCTGCATGCAGTAGTCCAGGTGGGGTCTCATGAGAGTGAAGTAGAGGGGGAGAATCATCTCCCTCGACCTGCTGGCCACGCTGCTTTTGTCACAGCCCAGGATATGGTTGGCTTTCTGGGCTGCAAGCGCACATTGCTGCTTCATATCCGATTTTTCATCCACCAGTACCCCCAAGTCCTTCTCCACAGGGCTGCTCTCAATCCATTCCTCCCCCAGTCTGTATTGATATCGGGGATTGCCCCGGCCCAGGTGCAGGACCATGCACTTGACCTTGCTGAACTTCATGACCATGTACATCTGCTATTGGCTGCTTTGGGGTCCAGGATGCTTGACCTCATGGACCGTTGGTCAGACTCAGTATAGATGTTCTTAGTCCTTGACTCAACCAAGTATTGCTCATTGGCCTAATCTCTCTTTCTTCTAGGTAGCTGGTGATTACCTCTGTTGAGTACATTCTACTTCCACACTGAAGGTCTGAACTGTGCTTAAGATGTCATAATATACTGTTCATCTGTCCTTTTTTCTCCCTAGGCTTATGGCATTGTATGGAAAGCAATTGATCGCAGGACAGGAGAAATAGTTGCTGTTAAAAAGATTTTTGATGCTTTCAGGAACAGAACAGATGCTCAGGTGAGAAATCATTGTTCTAACATGTCCTGAAAGATGTGGTGGGAGTTCGCAGATATTTTCAGGATTTATGTCTCTGAAAGATGTTAGTTATTTGACAATTATGCATGTAATAATACAGTCGACAGCTATATTGGGATAAAAAGGAGCAATAAATGTCAAGCTTTGTATATCATGGCATCTACAAAATACTGTTTGATGTCCCTGAGGAAAAAGCATCTTCATAGGTGTCATGGTTTAACCCCAGCCAGCAACTAGGCACCACACAGCTGCTCGCTCACTCCCCCCTGGTGGGATGGGGGAGAGAATCAGAAGACTAAAAGTGAGAAAACTCGTGGGTTGAGATAAAGGCAGTTTAACACGTAAAGCAAAAGCCGCGTGCGCAAGCAAAGCAAAACAAGGAATTCATTCACTACCTCCCATCAGCAGGCAGGTGTTCAGCCATCCCCAGGAAAGCAGGGCTCCATCATGCGTAACGGTTACTTGGGAAGACAAATGCCATTGTGCCAAACATCCCCCCCTTCCTTCTTCTTCCCCCCCACCTTATATACTGAGCATGATGTTATATGGTATGGAATAGCCCTTTGGCCAGTCTGGGTCAGCTGTCCTGGCTATGCTCCCTCCCAGCTTCTTGTGCACCTGGCAGAGCATGGGAAGCTGAAAAGTCCTTGACTAGTATAAACACTACTCAGCAACAAACAAAACATCAGTGTGTTATCAACATTATTCTCATCCTAAATCCAAAACACAGCACTATACCAGCTACTAAGAAGAAAATTAACTCTATGCCAGCTGAAACCAGGACAATAGGCATGCACAATTTGATTCTCCCTTATGTTGTTATGCTATAGTGTCTAAGCACAGAGAACACACTTGTGACTCTCTAATGAGCAACTGGGTTTTTCCTAGCCTGTCTACCATATAAGGGTTTCTTCTGCTTCAGAGATTAGAGTGGATTTAACCCTCTTATTGGAAGTCCATACTCTGTTCTGGTATTCTGTTGAGGTGATAATAAGCTTTTTTTTGTTTATTTCTAGAGAACATTTCGAGAGATTATGTTCCTGCAGGTAACGTCCATTTTTCCCCCTCCTCTCTGATTTTTAATTATCTTTAATGTTGTTCACATATTTTCTTCCCATTCTTTATCAAAATACAATGGTTGGTGTTGACAACTCTGTTAATTTCTTTTCTGCACCATATTGGCAAAAAGTCTTTCCATGACTGGACAAAAACACCTGAATGAAATGGAGAGTTGGTCTTATTTTTTCTTTGAGACATGCCTTGTTCTTTCACTATTTTTAGCAGTATGTCTTCTCTAGGATCACCATATTGACTTGGACTTTCTGTCACTTTTTACTTCTGTGTGGACAGAAAGTGTTTTTCTTAAATTTTAAGTGCCATGATTCAGAGGTGGGGCTGGGGTGTGGAAGAGATTTACGTGTCAAAATGTTTTTCCTCCATCATGTGGAAAGCAACTTGACCACTTGAAATAATCAAAGCAAACTAAAAGGAAAGTTCTGTATGGAATTACTTAAGGCTGCTCTTGTTTTGATACAATTGACCACATACTACGCCTAATGACCTTGTCACTGGCAGTGGCATTAAAATTATCTGTCCATTCCTCCACAGACCTACCATTTAGAAACATCAATGTTTTTGAATAGTGATAATGTTGTTATAACTATGATTTCCTAAGGACACAAGGAAGGCAGGGCTCATAGGAAGAGGTATTTCCTAAGACTGTCAAGTTTAAGTAGGAAAGAGATGAGGTTTTTTACTTTTTAATCATTCTTTAAGCCTGAAATAGAAGCCGCAAACTTAAGAGCTAAAAACATATGAGAACAATTCCTTAGAAGTTAATTACCTGTAAGTTAGATCATCTCTGAAAGTGTAGCACTTCTGGAGTAGATGGATGGAGGAGGAGTTGGGAGAAGAAAAAGAAGGATATTTCTCCTGAAGGAAAGAACAAGTCATTTTGGGGGAGGGAAGTTAATGTGCCGTTAAGCCCTCACTTTAATGATTTTTGGTGCTCAATAGACTTAAGAATTTTAGTTTCCCCCTCCTATTTTTTAAGGTATTTTATAGCTCTTTCTTGAAGTTCAAGACTGAGAGATCAGAAGGAGAAAGACATAAGAAATATTATTTCACTGGTAACTGGATGTTTGTCTTAATTTGCTTGTCTGTGCAAATTCCTTCGTGTGCATAATGATTGCTTAGTTTAATCTGTATGTTTATCATAAGGGCATTTGATGGACAGGATGAAGTTTATTGTCATTGAGAAGTGTTGATGTAGAATCTGGGCATTTTGATGATTCTCTTCTGGGTGATGTGTAGTATGCTGGTCGTTATAGAATCATATAATCGTTTAGGTTGGAAAGGACCTTTCAGATCATCAAGTCCAACTGTTAACCTAGCACTGCCAAGTTCACCACTAAACCACGTCCCTAAGCACCGGATCTACCCGTCTTTTAAATACCTCCAGGGATGGAGACTCAACCACTTCCCTGGGCAGTCTGTTCCAGTTATGCTGCTTGCAGGTTTTATGTTTATTGTTCAGTACAGTTGTAGATCTATTTGGTGCATTTTGGGCCACATATTAGAATGTAATTTTTGGTAATTACTTTAGTGAGAGCATTGTTCTTTAAGCAAAGATAAGTAGGACTGGCTCTGACAAGATTTTTTTCAAGGTAGGATTATTTTTTTTTTTTTAGTAAAGATTGAAACTTCCATAAGTTTCCGTTCCAGGGCAAGACAGTGTGAGACAATGGGGTTTTCTTTCAATGTGAAGTAAGTTCTTAAACAGTACTCAAGTAACATTGTCAAGACTGATCTGCATCTCTAGAAAAATATCCATTTTAGGTAAAAACTTTCTTTACATTATTTGGATGGGTATTCTGAATATTGTCCTCAGAATAAATGCAAGGGTATTTGATGGCCTGGCTGTATATTACTGCTTTGTAAGTGTGTTTTCATGGGTGGCTGCAGGTGAATATGTTGTTTTGTGGATTTTTCTAGATGTTGTACATTATAACCGATTTTTGTCTTGGCCTCAGAGTCTAGGAAGATGATGCTGTTGTAAGACTGTGCTAGAGATAGCTTAATATTATGACTTTTGATACTGTTTATAACTGAATTTCTGATGGAAATAGATAAAGAGTATATATTACTGATTCAAATAACAAAAATTTCATTTATGTATTTTAGATACAAGCATAGGTTTTATGGTGCAGTTCATGAAAATGTTGGCATATTGTGAAGTTCATGAAAATGTTGGCATATTGTGAAGTGTTCACAGTGTCTCTAGCTGCGCAGAAGCGTTAGCTATACGAAATAAAAGTTGTTAAGGCTGAGGATGAAGTAAATGATCTTGACAGTATTGTCAGTCTGCAAATCATAGAATCATAGAATTGTTTAGGCTGTTTTCCAGGTCTGTTCGACCTTTAAGAACATCAAGTCCAACCATTAATCCAGCACTGCCAAGTCCACCACTAAACCATGTCCCTAAGCACCACATCTACACATCTTTAAATACCTCCAGGGATGGGGACTTAACTACTCCCCTGGGCAGCCTGTTCCAGTGCCTGAACTACCCTTTCAGTGAAGAAAATTTTCCTAATATCCAACCTAAACCTCCCCTGGCGCAACTTGAGGTCATTTCCTCTCATCCTATCGCTTGTGGCCACTTGTGACCAGCCGCCAACTGGATTTAACTCCATTCACCACAACTCTTTGGGCCCGGCCATTTGGCCAGTTTTTTACACAGCAAAGAGTATGCCCATCCAAGCCCTGAGGAGCCAGTTTCTCCAGGAGAATTTTGTGGGAAAACATGTCAAAGGCTGTGAGGATAGAATGCTGTTGGAAATGGTGTCAAACATGAGGATAGAATAGAATTCACCTCCAGTTTAAGATATCTGTATTTATGTATCTCTTGGCATGATGATGGTCTGATCTCCCATTACAGTCGGTTCAATCAATGAAGCCTGAGAGTGTTTCAGCCTACCCTCAAATATGCACTTTCAGGTTGGTTAGGTTTTTTAATTGTGAATGCTGATGGCAACTTTGTTCTGTTTTCACTGCCACAATAATTATTTGCCTTCAGTAGGAAATATGAGGTGCATAAAGTTGACTGGATTTTATTCACAAATGATATAGAGGCATTTTTAGAACTACTGTCTCAGATAGGAGATGGGTTGGTTTTTTTTAGATTAACCAGCTGGTTTCATACTGTGGAGCAAGCTTAAATCTTTTTATTTATTTCAGTAGAAGCATAATGAAGGAAATAGCATGTTAATGTTTGTTCTAGACAATAATACAAAATGAAATAAGTTATTGTCCTTTTTTATGATTCACAAGAAAGACACTTGATTTTGACAGCTGGGGCTCTTCCCTTTGCAGGAATTTGGAGAACATCCAAATATCATCAAGCTGCTGGATGTTATCCGAGCTCAGAATGACAAGGACATCTACCTCGTCTTTGAGTCCATGGGTGAGACTTAGCATTCCATAAGCCATTTAAATACAGCCTCTCTTATGAGTTATCTTTGTTCCCTACTTTGATAGTAGTATGTTGATGATTTACATGAATATTCATGTAAGTAGACATATAAGTAGGAGCAGTACAGATTTTTTTAATATATATCAGTTGTGATTAGGTGGGAATAGCAGTGAAACTTTAAAGGAAGTAATAATTATATGAGAACTGGCTGGTTGAGATGAAAGATGGCAGTGAGCAACAAATTAGAAGGCTTGTAGAGACAGAGGAGTTGCATATGGAAGAGACTATGCAATTTTATTACAACAAAAGTGTGCAATAATAGAACAGCTACTGTAGCATGAGCTGCAAGTCAAACTGATAATACAGAGAGATTGCAGGACTATCAGTAATTACAGTCTTAACTTCTGTTGAGGATGCACTTGAAAGATTACAGTTTGGGCAATGGTCTATTCTGGCCTTGATTTGAGGAACTTATATTCATAACTTGGTAATCCTTTACTGATATAATATATTACAGAGACAGATTTACATGCTGTTATTAAGAAGGGGAATTTGCTGAAAGATATCCACAAGTGTTACATTCTCTACCAACTGCTGAAGGCAACTAAATTCATCCACTCAGGAAATGTTATTCACAGAGATCAGAAGGTATATTTCAGTCATAGTCTTTATCCTTCACTCAAGTTTTCTGTTAAACACTAAACGGATAAATATGAAAAGAATGAGACCAGTAAAAGAACCTTGATAATAATTTTCTGCCATTCAGAGAGTAAAAAGCTTATTAATTTTCCTCTGTTCAATTCAGCCTTCAAATATCTTGCTGGATGCAGACTGTTTTGTTAAACTTTGTGATTTTGGGCTGGCCCGTTCTTTATGTCAGATGAATGAGGACCAAGGCAACCCTGCTCTAACGGAATATGTGGCAACACGCTGGTACCGAGCCCCCGAGATCTTACTTTCCTCACGGAGGTAACTGTTTAATATGAGTGAAGGGATGGGATCCCGTACTTTCTTCACCACTGGGAAAATTTTTCTAAAAGTCTTAAATCTTTTCATTTTAGATGTCACCAGATGCATTGTCATGTCAGCAGTCCGTTTTCTCAATATGCATTTAAACTTCCATTCTGAAACATAAAAAGCTCTCCTTACACGTACATTTCATTCCTGGCTGCTTAGATTGTCCATTTACATACATTATCAGCTCATCTGTTTGTCGTCCTTTCTAGCACTAGTCTTATTCCTTCTCCCCTTAAATCTGCATCTTTACAAAATTTGGTTGAGTACCTTAGTCCTCTTTTCCAAATTTAAGCAGAGTTTTTTGATAGACTTTCAGAAAACATTCTGTAATCAAATGTTAAATCAGCTGCCTGTTAGTCAAGCTTAGTCCTTTTTTTGACTTAAATATGGAAAATCTTATTGCTCAGAAAAGAAAATAAATATAGGGTGGGTTAGCATCCCAAATTTCAAATGTGGATGTTTTGCAAACTGTCATTTACCCATTGTTTGGCATTTACTTTGCTTAAGTAATTGTAACTACTTTCTAGATACATTATGCCCTGAAAAGTCAGTTATTTCCAATCAGCAACTTGTATCTTCACTGTTAGTCATATGAAAAGTGCATATTACCTTGTCCTGGCATTTACCTTTAGTGTATTTCCTTTTATGGTTTCCTAGAATAGACTTTTAGTAGGATAAATCTCCTTTCTGTTTTATTCTTGCCAGTTTCATGATTCCCAAATCTCATTCGCGTTATAGTTAAAACCTGTGAGCATTCGTATTCAAGGAGTCATCAAGCTTGTTTTTCTAGCAAAATAAGCTAATGTAGATGATGTGAATACCAGGTACAGAAAAATATTTGCTTGGTTTAGTCCTAATTCTGTTCTATTCTTATTTGTAGTTACACTAAAGGTGTAGACATGTGGAGCATTGGCTGTATTCTGGGAGAGCTGCTACTTGGGAAACCTCTTTTTCCTGGAACATCAACAGTGAATCAAATAGAGCAGATCTTGAGGGTCATTCCTGCCCCATCCCCAGAAGGTAGGACTCTTCTACGGGGAAAGGTATTTAGAGAAGAGGTTAAAAGAGTGAAGGAAAGCAGCCCAGCTGGATCAGGGAAGAAGGTATCTTATGAGTCATTCTGACATCTTTCCAAGGAAATTAAAGACTTAATTGTGAAATGGTAGTGTTAGAGGAAAATAAGCCCATACTTGATTAGATGAGAAACAAGAACCAGGCCTTCAAAACATTTTTTATATTTATAAGAGGATAACAGTTTAAAACAGAGTATCATACTTCAGTGAGACTTGTGTAGTAAAGGTAAATTGGACTTTTTGGTCTGGAAATCTCAACACAGAAGTGAAAGCTGGAGTTAATATATGTTAAATCCAAAAGGGGGGAGGAGGAGGAGGAGGAGGAGGAGGAGGATTATGCTTATTGTCTTCTATGAGTTCCAGTCTAACAGCCCACATACTTTATAAACTTTTACAACATGTTGATATGTTCTAACTGGGCTAACAAATAGTTTTTAGAAAAATAACTACCTTCAGTTTAAGGACATCACAGTTTTGGAGAATTCCATTCAAGCTTAAAGTTATTTATAGTTTTTATTAAGAGATTTGGTTGCTGTGAATGAAATATGAATAGAAATGTGTGTGTGAAAACACCAAAACAGGAGTTAGAAGAACAGCTAGCACTAATATCAAAAAAGGCTATTCCATTCACAGCAATACAATTGAGGAATGTGTTGATAGTGTCATAACCAGAAGGTTTGCACTCTAAGACCACAGGACAAATGACTCATTAGCAGAAGGTCCTGTATCCTTACCACAGGACAATGGCTGCAAGGTTGCAGCATATCACAGGCACAATTTCTTTTTCTTTTAGCCAAACAAGTGAAAACAGACACATGTTCAAAATGTTATTGCAGACAAGGAAAACCAACCTATGAACAGCAACTTTGCCTAGGATTTATGGGGACCAAAGAAGCAAGATTCTGAAGCAAAAAAACATTCCATAGCAACTGTTGAGTCTTTGAGAGTATGACAGATATATTCAGAAAACAGTTCATCATCACCAATCAAAAAGAACCCCAGCGGATATGATGAGGAAATAGCTGGTATCCCTTGTTCTCCGTATGCCACACAAGTGATCCTGGCCAGATCATTTGGCCTCAGATATCTTGGTGCTTCTGCACATGTGGGTATAAGAGTGCAAGTTTATGAAATTCATGATAGAGTGAATAGGAATTGAGAAAATCAGCTTAGAAAATTTGTAGTAAATATTCCATCCCTATTCCATAAGATCTCCCACTGAATTTTATTGGGATCATTTCCTATGGTAATATCAAGTATTTGCTTTCCTTCATAAACTGTGTAGCTCTGGTAATCCTAATCTTGGTATTAACAGTATCTTTTCATTATTGCAGATATTTTGGCTATGCAATCAGATTACAGGGCCTCAGTTATTAACCGCATGAGTACCCGGTAAGTCTTATATGTTCAGTGTGTCTCAGAAGTGAACAGCCTACTGTATGATGTTGACAAAAAGTTCCCGAGGTTCACCTTCCAGTGTTCACCAGTGGAAATGATTTCTGCTCGATGCAGATTCATCTACCTCTAGGGAAGGGATGTGAAGGTTGAAAAAAAAAAAAAAAAAAAAAAAAAAAAAAGATGAGAAGACCAATGACATAATCTGGGAATAACAAAGCAAAATGAGGTTGGGCCTACATTCCAAGCGAAAAAAAAAAAAAAAAAAAAAAAAAAAAGATGAGAAGACCAATGACATAATCTGGGAATAACAAAGCAAAATGAGGTTGGGCCTACATTCCAAGCTATTGTCACATGTACTTTCTCAAAATTAGAATATTTTGCTATCCTTCATATGGGTTATTTGGGTATCTGATGTCATTGGTTCACACATGGAAAGCCTGAATCTATTCAGGCTGACAGCTGCATTCCAGCTGCTTAATGACTCTTACTGTGATTTTTTTTTCTTTGTTTTTTTCTTATATCTGTCGTGTTTTTTGGGGATCTTCCAGTTATGTACACAGGCTACCACATAATTCTGCATTTATTACATACCTAATTATTAAACATTAGTAAACTTAATGCTCTTACGCTAACTTATGGCTATAGCAAATTACTCACCAGTCTCTAAGTATTCACTACTCATATCTGTCATGATACTAGTGGGCATCCCTTCTCATCGGGGAGTCTGCATTATGCATAGCCCAGCTATGTGTGGTATGAGTTCTCTGAATGCTTACCGATATGTTTTTATAGGTTTAGGTTAGGGCGGCTCAAACCATAAGCTCTAGCAGGTCCCTTGCTGTTCATGTGAACAGCATATGCATTTTCATGCTGACTTTTGCTGACTTCTTCAGTTGGCATCCTGGAGTGTTATTCCCTTTCAGGGATGCCAGGATTCCTGTATCAATCTATGCCAGGTAGTTGAGGAACTGAGACCCTTTTGTCTCTGCTGATTCAGATGTCAGCATGGCATGTGTGTTTGACCTTGTCAGGGGGAAGTGGATGGCCACAGTATCCCATATGAGTTTCCCTTGATGCAACTTGTGAATGTTGCTTCTCATCCTTTTGCTGTGCACCTGTACTGGGTTTGGTTGGAATGGAGTTAATTTCCTTCATAGCATCTCATATGCTGCTGTCTTTTATATTTGTGTCCAAAACAGTGTTGGTAACACAGCAGTGTTTCAGCTGTTGCTTAACAATGATTGCACAGCAGCCATCAAGGCCATCTCTGTTTCTCACTCTGCCTCCACAGCGAGTAGGCTTAGGGTTGGCAAGAGACTGGGAGGGGACACAGATAGGACAGCTGACCCTTCTGGCCAAAATGATATTCCATACAATATAGTGTCATGCTCCGCAATAAAAGAGGTGGGGAGGAATTTCTCCAAAGTAGCTGTTGCTTGAATACTGGCTGAGTATCGGTGTGCTGGTGGTAAGTGATTGCTTTTGCACAACCTGGGGGTTTGTTTCCATTTTTCCCTTTTTTTCCCCCTCTACTTACTGAACTGTCTTTATCTTGACCCAGGGGGGTTTCTTGCTTTTGTCCTTCCAATTCTCTCCCCCATCCTGCTGAGGGGGAGAGAGTGAGTGACTGGATGGGGTCTTAGCTGTCAGCCAGGGTCAACCCACCAGAGTCCTTTTTGGCACCCAACATGGGGCCAGAGGGGTTCAACTTTTTTTTTTTTTTTTTTTTTTTTTCGAGTCATGGCAGAGAAGCGGAGAGGAGGTTGTAGCCAGGTGGGGGTCAGTCTCTTCTCCCAAGTAACAAGCGATAGGACGAGAGGAAATGGCCTCAAGTTGTGCCGGGGAGGTTTAGATTAGATATTAGGAAAAATTTCTTCACTGAAAGGGTAGTCAGGCACTGGAACAGGCTGCCCAGAGAAGTGGTTGAGTCCCCATCCCTGGAGGTATTTAAAAGATGTGTAGATCTGGTACTTAGGGATATGGTTTAGTGGTGGACTTGGCAGTGCTAGGTTAACAGTTGGACTTGATGATCTTAAAGGTCTTTTCCAACCCAAATGATTCTATGATCCTGTGATTCTATGACATCACAATAGATTTGATTGGAGTGTACTAGACAGGAATTTATAGTAGTTACACCTGTTTAGCTGGTTTTGGTCATAATACCGATGTATTTGTTCTTGACACTGGTTTATTTGTTCCTTTACCTGCTCCATGGCATGCTCCCTCTCTTGCTGTACCCCCGAATTTGAGGGCTTGTTAATGGCTGCTTTCAGCTTTTGCAGTTTGCTATGCTGTTAAGCACTTTTTTGTGTTTTGCCTGGGAGAGTTATGATAAAAGCACTGGCCTTGAGACTAATCTGGTATTTAGGCCCTGCACTGGTTCTGTCCCAGTAGTTAGGGAACCATCTCATGAAGATAATTAACAATTTCTCCTCTTCTCATCCAAGAGCCAGTTTGTAGAGGAAATGAAGAATGGCACCTCCCCCTTCCTGTCTCCTGGGGTAGATTTTTTTTCTGCCTTATTACAACAGCTCTTCAGTTTCTTCAACATCCATGGGTAACTAGAATGCTCATATTGGTATATGTCAAGAATCTGATTCTGACTTTTCCTGAGGATAACAAACTATTTGTGAATGCCACACAAGGATGTGCCCTGAGGTAGCTGGGTCATGGGTCACAAGTTGGCTAGGGGAGTTTGGGCAGGTACCTAGAGCAATTTTCACGCCCAGTGGTGTGGGACTTCACACCCGAACAAGCGTGGCATCCTGCTGAATGACAAAGCACTTGAAGAAAGGATGCCTTGTCTATGCCAAAGAGACACAACTTCTTATGCTGTGCTGGGGCCTGGTGTACACCTACCTCCGCAGGGTGAAAGGGTCTCTAGATCTGAGGACATACACATGGACACCGTGGCTAAGTCAGAGACCCAACCCTCCATGATAACAGTTGCTCCTAAACAACGGAAGAGGAAGTCAACTTGGTTAGTAAGGGAGGAAGAAGCTTCTAAGAGGGAGCGCAAGGAAGAATCAGAAGAGGCAGTCTGTTCTGCAGCAGAGAAGCCACAAGAACAAGAGGGGGAAGAGACAGAAATCATGAATGAGTGCAGAAATCACCCAGTTCCTATCCCTGAACGAGCTGCAAGATCGGAGAGATTACAGTTGTCATCTAGGTGAGCAAATTATCACCTGGTTGCTCTGATACTAGGATACTGGGGCCAGTGCCAAGTCAGGAATTAGAGGGTAAGAGAGCCCAGCAACTGGCATCTCTCGCTAAAGACTGGGGAACCAGTGAAGGGATCAGAAGGGGGCAACAATCTGCAGCTTCTGGAGGTGACTTCTGTAAGAAGATCTCGTAAACTACTGAGGCAAGTGGACCACCATTGAGGGGAGATATCCAGCACTAGGGAATTGGTGGTGGAGGTGATCTACAGCAACCTGGGCAATAACCAGGGCTCCACAGATCTGAGTGAAGTCCAGTGCACACGGTTAAAACGTTGTACAGAGAACATCAACATTGTATGTCAGCACCCTGACAATAATTGTACAGACACTGAGGCACCAACTGTGGACAGACTGCTGGCCAGCTCTGTCAATACAAAGAGAGTGAATCTGCCTCCCCAACCCTATGGTCCTGTGTCTCAGCTGTAGAAAAACGGTCCCAAAAGTTCCAGCAAATTCAGAGAGAGTATGTTTTCCTCCTCACCCATACAGTTTGGCATCTTTGCTATCAAGAGCGTCACATGGAGTCAGCCTTTCTCTGCTCAAAAGAAAGGGAACTGTGCATGCCACCCTGTGGTTCTATCTGCATGACCATGGGGAGGACATGAGGAAGTGGGACAGTGCATCTATCTCGAGCCTAGAAACTTGTGTACGTGAATAGCAAGGAAAAACAGCAGCCAAAAAGGGTCCATTCAGGAAGATGACTGCTCCAGTTGCTGTTGAGCAATTCCCCAAACACAGTGGAAAGACTGATCCTACTTCTGATCCTGGTTTGCAATTACAGGAGTCATGTAACGAATGCTCTGACCAGGAATAGAGGGGCCACGCCTCTAGCCTGGCGGAGGAAAGGCATAACTCCGTTTATTGGACTGTATGGATTCAATAGTCTGGCACATTGGACCCACAAGAGTATAAGGCTCTGCTGGACACCAGTGCACAGTGACACTATTGCCATCAGGATACAAGGGGACAGAACCCACCTGGATTTCTGGAGCAACAGGATAATCCCAACAGTTATCTGTGTTGGAAGCTGAAGTGACTCTAACAAGCAATAAGTGACAAAAGCATCCTATTGTGACTGACTTGGAGGCTCTCTGCATCCTTGGCACGGACTACATCAGGGGAGGCTATTTCAGGGACCCAAATGGGTACCAGTGGGCTTTTGGTGTAGCTGCCATGGATACAGAGAGGATTAAACATCTGTCTAGCTTGCTCAGCCTCTTAGCGAATCCTTCTGTTGTAGGGTTGCTGCATGTCAAAGAGCAGCAGCAGGGGGAGGAGTGATGAAGTGAGTGGGTGGGAGCTTAGCTGCCAGCCAGGGTCAACCCACCACAGACAGCACTTCTGAGAAGAGCTTTCTCATTTCTATAACCCTTCTCTCAGTAGTGAAAGACAGCAGTTGGAACTCTCCATTCATTCCTGGCTGAAATGCACTTTATTTGACAGCCCTGCTCTTTGGATGTTATCTTCTTTTTCTTTTTTTCCCCCAAAAATGTGGAAGTTGAGTGGCTAAGTTCTGATAGATGGCTCCAGCTAGATAAAAGAGCAAGTGAAATCTTGGTCTTCAAAACTGAAAACATTTTTTCTGAGCCGGTCAGTCCAAATGCTATGTTCAGTGATGGATCATTTTTCTAAACTAAAAGAGTATTGTCATGGAGTAACAAAATTCTTGAAAATATGAGTAAGAGTTGTGTCTTAAAACTGATTTTTCAAATGTATTAGATATTGTCATGTTCATTATGTTAATAATTCTCTTTAGGATTTCAAAATGCAAAAACAGATTTTTAAACTTCATCTTCTCATTGCAAATTATACAGAAATATATTTCTGTGGTCTAAGGGCTGGATTTACGGGATCTTTAACAGTTCAACTGAAACACCTAAGTTAGGAGTTTGGGCTTCCTGCATTGTCAAAAGAACAAAAGGAGGACTTGTTATCCAGAGGACTTAATATTCCCCTGCGTCTGATACTGTCTGATATCTCTCTCTTTCCACTGAAACAAGAGAAAGACTAGACTTGCAAGTTAGGCACTCCATGTAGGTTCCTAGTCCTAGGAGGGAGGCATTCAAACCTAATCAAAGGGGTAAAAGACTTTACTGTACTCCCAGACCTGTACTTTAGAGTGTTCCAGGATTATGGCACACTATTTGTGAGTGAACTCTGGAGTCAGGTGTCACCTTGATGTGATTCCCAGAACTGTAATTCACGCCTTCACTGTGAATTAGACACTGGGAGCTTATATTATTGTTTTCTGACTTCTAGGCAGCGAGTAACATTTGAGGAGATTTTACCATCCTCTACTCCATTGCCTGCCTTGGATCTTCTGAAGAAACTTTTAGTATTTAACCCTGATAAACGACTCACAGCAGAGGAGGCTCTGCAGCATCCTTATGTGAAAAGGTGAGAGTAATACCAATGTGCAGTTTCCCCTGATGTCTTCTGAGATGTTATAGACCTGCTCTTGGCACAAGTTTTCTTTATATGCATGATTAAAAAAAAAAAAAAGACAAAGCTAATTCTTCATTTTCTCTAACCCTATTTACACTAGAGGTCACGCTAGATGATTTAACAATCCTTTTTAACATTATATTAATCTGTGGTGCTGGTTTTAGTCTTCGTGAATTACATTTTGTGTCATCACCTTATCAGGTTTCACTGTCCTGCGAGGGAGCCCTCTCTGGATTATGATGTGATTCTTCCTTTAGGTGATGATATCCAGCTGTCTGTGGCAGAATACCGAAATAAATTATATGAGGTACTTTCTCTTATCCTATTTTCCAAAATCCTAGTCCTCCAGGTAACCTGCCATTCTTGCACACACTTAATGAATTCTGTCATTTTCTTCTATTTGTGTTCCCCTAGGCTTTCCATACATGCTTACAGTTACATCTTGGTGTTTCTTATGAGTCAGTTCCATACTGTCATAATTTTTGAGAGGTCTTTAAATCTAGATTCCCACTGGGAAAAGTCTGTAAAGCATGATGTCTGAGAAAGACTGTGTTAGAGGAAAATATATTATGCTGGATCCAGCAGCCCAAGAGAGGCGAGGCTGCTGACACTCCATGTCCCCAGGTCCAGCCAGCAAGGCTGAAGATGTATTCTCAGTAGGCACACACACACAAAACACATATGCGCTGTGTATGTACATATATACATGGCTGCCCACATGGATCACAAACAGGCACTCAGAGCACTAATACAAACATAGACAGCACCAACAGCCTCATCCTGCTCCCTTCTCTGGCTGAGCAAGATGGAAGTCCACTCATGAGAATATATATGCATACATACAAGGTGGATCCCTGCAGCAGCTCGTCTCAGACACTCAGTCTGCTCAGTAGCTGGCCCCTTGATTCCCGTCTCCTCGGTTGCTGGCACTTGGATATACAAACCCCAAAGGCTGTAGCCCTACTCCAGTTGCTGGTACAGACCATGCAGACAAACAGCTGGCCAGGACTTTCCAGGTCCCTTAGCTGACCTCCACCCCCCTGCCCACAGTGTTCTCACTCCTAGAGATTCACAGGTGCTCTCAGACCCAGAGCTGGCCCATAGAGACCCACTCACCCCCTTGCTCCCAGACCACTTGATCTATTTATTCACTGACTAGTCTGACTTGATCTTTGCTAGCAATCACATGCTCACTCGCGCACCTGCACTGTCTTCAGTTGCTGGCACCATGGACACACAGGCCCTCGGACTTGTGATCTGACTCCAGTTGCTGGCACTCACACCTGTGTACACAGACACGCAGACAGACTAGACAGCCTCTCTTCCAGGAAAGAGAAAGGAATTTAATAAGAAGATAGAGCAAACTGCATTGCTCAGGTGCAGGGCATGGCCAGACAAGCTTATTGACCAGCCAGCTATTTACACACAACTGGCTGTTTTTATACCACTTATCCCCTGTTTCCCACACTCGTTCCTCCCCAGATCACCTAAACCCCTCTCTTGTCCTGCTTTTGGTTCCTATCCTAAACATCCCATAATAAGTCCTGTTGATCCCAAATTACTTTCCCCTGCATCCCACAATGCATCCAGCCCATAGGCAGCAACCTCCATGCTGCCACCCCCACTGTCCCCTGCCACTCTTAGTCCAAAAGGTGATCTAGAGAAGTCCTGATGACTCATCATGATGAGTTTCATGCATGGACAATGGGGCTGATGGCTTTGCTGGGACAGCCCTGGCAGAGGCCCAGACAAGGTGTTGAGAAGCCCTTGATTTGGGTTCCCACCTGCTATAGTGCATCCCTGCGCTCCTCTCAGCCTGTGCAGATGGGCCTTTGATGTGCTGATGGCTTCTGTGAATGGGCCAGGGGGTAGCTCAGCAGAGTATTATTTGGGCTTCCCATCCTGCCATTGGCTTTCTGAGCTCCATTGTGTGGGTGTGCAGACAAGCTCTTATCACATAACCTAACAGACTGAGGTTTTTTGCTGGACCATAGTCAAGTGCCATGGCATGCTGCACCACATACACCGAACTATCAGATTTCAGAATAATTAATTAGCAGAGGAGGAAGAGCAAGTGAAGGATCAGTGTAGCTGATAATAAAGGACAGTGATGTTTTAGGAGCCATATTTTGAATGCATTGACGTGGGGAAATAGTAGTGCTTGAAAAATCAGGAAATGGTGCAATAATCAAGCCAATAAATTAAAAAACCTGTTGCAAAATCTTTAGTTGTACAGCGAAAAGGAAAGATAGTACTTTTGATGCCATTTGGTATAAGGAATAAGATCAAAAGTAAAATAAAAAGCTGCACTTTCCTTGTAGACAGTGGGATTGAGTGCACCCTCAGCAAATTTGCAGATGACACCAAGCTGAGTGGTGCGGTTGACATGCCTGAGGGATGGGCTGCCATTCAGAGGGACCTGGACAAGCTTGAGAATTGGGCTCATGTGAAGCTCATGAGATTCAATGAGGCCAAGTGCAATGTCCTGCACCTGGGTTGGGGCAACCCCCAGTATCAGTACAGACTGGGGGTGACGGGATTGAGAGCAACCCTGTGGAGGACTTGGGGGTACTGGTGGATGAAAAATTGGATATGAGCCAGCAATGTGCGCACACAGCTCAGAAAGCCAAGCATATCCTGGGCTGCATCGAAAGAGGCGTGGCCAGCATTTCGAGGGAGGTGATTCTGCCTCTCTACTCCACTCTCGTGAGAACCCACCTGGAGCCCTGCGTCCAGCTCTGGGGTCCCCAGTACAAGAAAGATGCGGACCTGTTAGGGCAGGTCCAGAGGAGGGCCTATGAAAACAGTCCGAGGGCTGGAACACTTCTCCTATGAAGAAAGGCTGAGAGAGTTGGGGTTGTTCAGCCTGGAGAAGAGAAGGCTCTGAGGACACCTTATTGTGGCCTTTCAATACTTAAAGGGGGCTTATAAGAAGGACAGAGAGAAACCTGCAGTCTCTCTAACAAGGCCTGTAGTGACAGAACAAGGGGCAATGGTTTTAAACTGAAAGAGGGTAGGTTTAGATTGGACATAAGGAAGAAATTTGTTACGATTAGGGTACACTGGACCAGGTTGCCCAGAGAAGTTGTGGATGCCCATCACTGGAAGTGTTCAAGCTCAGGTTGGACGGGGCTTTGAGCAACCTGATCTAGTGGAAGGTGTCCCTGTCCAAGGCAGGGGGGTTGGACTAGATAATCTTTGAAGGTCCGTTCCAACACAAACCATTCTATGAACATTTGATTAATGTCTGAAGAAATGAAAGCAGAACAAAGATAAACACAAATCAGAACTAATTATGAGACACCAAACTGATCTGGATGGTGGTGTTGATGGTGTTGAAGCAGTAGGGAGGAGGATAGCCAGAGTGACTCCTCTAACAATGAAATATGAGGAGCAGTAAAAGTGGAAGTAAATTAAGCCTTCAGGAGGAGAAATTGGGTTTGGCTTAGTTTTGTTTTGTTTCTTTTTCCCTTTCTACAGTGAAAGAAATTATGTAAATGTCCTGTTATGAGGCAAAGGAACAGAAAGATGGTGAGAAGAGCAGGGTTTGGAATGTAAATGTAGTAAAACAGGCACTGGAAAGAATGCTAGTGGGAAAAGACGAATGAAAAGAAGCTTAGAGATCAGAAAATCCAAGACTGAGAAAGACTGATAAGGGTGTCCACCTTCCGAGAGAGAGAAGTGTTATTGCTTCTATTAACAGCAATGAAAATTGAAGAAAGGAAAAACAAAATTGAATTTAAAAAGTTGAATCTACTTAAAATTTCTTTTAAGGTCTTTAATAGAAGGAGACTAATAAACTCTACTCTGATAGAATGTTAGGAGTCATGAGCAGATGAATTAGTAAAATGAATACTGAGCACAGGTAGAAAAGATATTCTAAATGTCAATAGATTGGTCACAGATAACCTAGGTACAAGGCTAAGAAACAAGTGGATAGTTTTGAATAATCTTACTGATAGGGTGTCAAATTTGGGATGACTGTGATTACAGGAAGTTGAGAGCAGATTGTCTGCACCAAGACCCCAAACCTTGGCAAGGATTCTGTTGCTAGATAATAGTGTGTAGAGGTAGGTGAGAAATAATTACGAACTAACCGTAATGAATGTTGCTTTGACCATTAAAAAAATCAGCTTTGCAAAGTTCTAGAAAGGGATGGTAAGAAACAACACAGTGTTAACCTTTTGGGCATATAGATTCTGTCTTTTCCAAGGCTAATGCCCATTTTATTTCGTGGTGTTCTCCCTTAGGATATATTGAAATTGCTTGTTAACCAAATTCTTTTTCTTAATGCTTTAGCCTATTCTTTCTTTCCACTGAGAATATTATTTCTATCTTCTTTCCAACCCTAAATTAATTTTAAAATTATGCTTGTTACCTATCCTGTGAAATAAATTGCAGTTATTTGTAAATCTTTCTCTTTGTTTTTATGTTTTGTTCCTCTGCTCTGCTGTGTAGCTGTGTTAAGTCTAACCAACTTCTCCTTTCTGTAGATGATCCTTGAAAAGAAATTAAATAGCCATGCAAAGGAGCAAGTGTGGAGAGAAAACATCCAACTAAGTCAGTCTGAATCCAGGCCGCTTCTTCCAAATTCCAGTTCTGTGACTTTACCTACCAGGAAAGGCCAGAGAGAACCAACACCGCCTCTTCTAAAAACCTTGCATGTGCATGCTGGAACTACAGCTAGTGTCCAGCCCGAAGTATCCAGCCAGAGTGAAGATTTAGCAAAAACGTTATGTCAGAGATCAAAGATCAATGTGATATACAATCCCATAACACACACTGCTGTTCAAAGTAGGTACTACCCTCCTACAGTAGGATGTAATCCACCATGAGGCATTATTATGGGGAAGAAAGAAGAAAAGAGATTGAGTGGGGAAAAAGAAATAAGGGGAATTTGCATGGCAAAATCAGAGGGTGAAAGTGTGGGAGGAAAATGACATAAGAACAAAATATTGTTGAATGAGTTTTAAGTGTTTGACATTCTCTTTGGCTCTTTCCTGCCTCAGTCTTGACTCTACGTTCTTTTCTGTTTTCTCTTTGTTTCTCTACTGCTGTTATCTTTTCCCATGCCCTTTTGAACTGGTTTTGTTTGCTACTACATTCTGATTTTATTCTGAATATTTTTGTTCTGTTTGTGAGATTAAGCGAGGTGGCAGGGGCTGACTGAGTTTTTATGTTCTGTCCCTGCCTTAGTCAGCGTGTTCTGTCCCCTCATGATTTTTTACTTTCTCTCATGTTTTTTCTTCTGCAGGTAATGCAAATTCTGGTGCTGTGATCAGGAACTATTCTGCACCACCTTCTCAACAGCCCAGAATCTCCAACAATAGGAAACTGGGGAGACAAATCACATGGACAAATGCTCAGCTACCTCCTACAAGTGTACAGAACCTTTATAATGTGAGTAGCAGTCCTATCAAAAAAAAAACCTTAAATTTTCATAGACCAAAATGATATAGACGCAAAATATCTTAATTTGCAACTTTGTAAAGATACTTAAATGAGAGGCAAGGCATATTGCTCTGTGAGTGACTCGATTAATAAATTTTTATCAGTTAAAATTACTTATGGCAAAGATATATACTGCAATTTCATTGCTTGTATGTAGTGTCAGTCAAATGGTACCAGTAACCTAGTCTGATAAGGCAGTTGGGCTGATATAGAGTATGTTCCCTTTACTGGAGAGCTGAAGAGTGTGCTAACTGAAGAGTTTCTGCTAGGAGGGGAAATAACTAGACATAACTTGCCTCTAATATGGGGTAGATTCATACAGGAATTTGCATATTGCAGTCTTCAGTGTTGCAATACCTACATTTCAGTTGTTTTGTCTACTAACGAAGTTTACCACCCTGAGTTAAGTTCTGTGCATGAGGCAGTGTGTTGAGAGGAAGACCATCTATAGTAATCACCAGGAAATGCCAAGGGCACAGATGTGGCTTAAACCTTACATGTCTAGCATATGTAATGCTGATCTTCAGCTAGTCTGGGTTTATAAACGCTTTCTCTTGGAGTTTTAAATCTAACCGCAATATTGCAAAAAACCCTATCACCTGTGGCTTGAGCAGCAAGAGTATTTTGGTGCCTATAGGTTTGTGCAGGAGTTCTGTGAATGACTGTTGAATTTATGTATGGGAATTAGGTACTTCAGAGAACATGAAGTAACACAGCGCTTTTGTAAATCTAGGTCTCTGCCTCATTAGCAGTATTTTTTTCACAAAGATTAGTTGTAATGGATCATATCCGTCAGCTAACTGTAATCAAAAAGTAAAAATATGTTTGCAGATTCTTTGCCTCTACTTCTTTTTCCCATCTTGAGTTTTAATGCAACATCTTTTGAGATGTGCTGAGATATATGACTTTTTTTCCGCTGCCCTTTTTCTAAAGGACAGGCTAATTTTGGACTCCATTCTACTTTCAATTTTATCACTTCAGACAAGTGAGGCTTTTAACACCATTTCAGATTATGACATTGTTCAGATTGTCAGCAGCACCAAAAACTCCCTTTGACTTTGACAATCACAGATCAGTTGCTTTTACATTATCTTCAATGATGGCTTGTCCTGTCCAAAGTGTGTAGGTAGCAAATTTGGTTTTAACCAAATTGAGACTGTTGGATATTCCAAACTTAGCTGGAGAATTTGAACTACCTCTGGAATCAACCTAATGGATTGCTGTTGCTGAACAGTGAAGGTTTCAGTCCTGTCCTCTCTGCTCCTCCCTCTTCCCTGTTCTTTGCCATGCTTCCTTGTAAAAGTTCTTATCCTCACTGGGTTCTTAAATGACCTCCTTGCCCCTGCTTTTTCTTTTTCTTGAGCTAGTTGTCTGCTGACTAGCTCAAGGAGAGTCTAGCCAACACAAGGTGATCAGAGGAAGCTTATGGCAGAGGAAGAATATGGATTGCCTTTTTTGTGACACTAAAGATTGACTTGTTTGTCGTGGGACTTTCTCACATCCCCACAGAAGAATACTTGAATGTCTGTGTGCTCCAAACCATTCAAAACGTATGTTGAGCACAGTTGTGTGAAGGGACTTCTGACAGACACCACTATCAAAGATGAGTTGGGTGGGATCAGCTGCTTTCTGTCAGCATGCAATATCACATTTACCTGAAAGCAAATTATTTCTTTGAACACAGCTCTGAATGATCTGAGCCATTTCAAGCTAGAAACAAGCTGCAGATGCTGTCCAGAGTCAAGGTTGTTCCTACTGAATCTCTTCTTAATGTTGTGATTGATATGAAAATACATATGAATAACTGCTAAAAGGAGACATGATTGCCAGTAACTTCCAAGTATGTCCACATGAACACTTGTAACCCATCTTTCAGCCCCTCTGCTTTGGAATCCCATTCAAAATATTTGAGACTGAAAGGAACCATTTATTCCACAAGTGTGGGACCATTTATTCCACAATATGAGATTGTGGAGATTGCTGCATGTGCAGATGTACATATGAGCAATGCATTTTGAAGAATCTTTAGGTAATTTCAACCAACTTTCTGTTACTGGAAGAGCATAATAGGGAGAAGATCACCCTACACATGCCCTGTGCTTTATATTTGTTCACTGAGAGGCTAATATTGACTAGTGTCAGAGACAGGATATTGTGGTAGAAGGTCATCAGCATTGTGGCTGATCTTATGCTAAGTCAGTGTTGACTTCTCCATCTTTCTCATTCAGCCTCAGCAGGAGCTGAAAAGTTCTGACATTCCAGTTTGCTCTGCATTCAGTCTGCATTCATTTTCACTATCCTATAAGGCTCATGAAATTCTTTTTTCTCAGCCATTTGGCCAGAAAAGACTCCTACAATGGCTGGGGTGACAGCAGCCAGTGCCACAATAGCGAGTGGAAACTCCTGCCTTTCAGTTAACTATAGAGGTTCACAAAGCATAAGCTGCAGTTTAACAGCTCTCCTCTTGAACTGCAGATTCAAATGTAATGTATTATGTATTGTCATGTATTAATGTATTATTAACTTTTCCCCACAGGGGCTGATAAACACAGTATCCATATGCAGCTTCCAACTCAGAAAATCACCAAGCCATTTGATTGGCAGAAGCCAGGAGGATATACTGGGGAATGATGATGATGATCTGTCTTTTGTACATATATTTAAAGCATTCACTACTGTTGAAAACAAGATACTAGCCAAACAGGCCTTTGGACTTTTGCTCCAGTGCAGGATTAGTTTGTCGTATCTTGCTCCAGTGCCACTAGCTCATTTTTGATACACCTGTTCTTAAGCCCTTCTCCCTCACATCATTCTCACCATCCTATTCTTGATCTTACAAAACAGTCTATTTTATTATTCATAGAACATTCATGATCTGTCCTACTCCTCATCTGAAGCAAAATCTGTGTTCCTTATTTGTATTTTAGAAAGCTGATTACAGGTTACTAACTATCTTGGCTTTTCTTTCTTGCACAGAATCCAAGAAATACTCAGTTTCACAGCAAAGATGTTCGTCCCCTTCTGAAGTCCAGTAAAAAGATGTTCCCGGTTACTGCAAATATGGGAGCTGCTGGTGATCCAAAAGCATCAATGGGCAGTTACTCCCAGGCCTATGGAACCATATGTAGATCTGCACTGCAGAGTCTTCCAATATCAAAGTCTTCCCAACAACATGAGCAGTGAATATGTAAGTGTTCTAACCAGGTGAGAACAGCAACTGAGAGCAAAATATAACAGGCATTTGACAGTTACCCCAGCTGAAGGGAAATGCTTTATTCATTGCATGGAACAATGTACTACTTTCCTCTAGACAAACCAACAGGAAAGCCAATCTAATCCCTTTGCCTTCCAGTCTTACCAGACAGCACTATTTGCTCCCATACCATGAGAACAATGAATACTGTCAGTTCATATTCCTCGCCTGAATTATTGCAGAAAATTACAGAAAACTGCAATATTCTGATACTTGAATGTATTTAGACATATTCAGACGTATTCAGGGCCCATGTGAACCTCATGAAGTTCAACAAGACCAAGTGCAAGGTCCTGCACCTGGGTTGGGGCAATCCCTAGTATCAATACAGGCTGGGGGATGAAGGGATTTGAGAGCAGCCCTGCAGAGAAGGACTTCGGGGTGCTGGTGGATGAAAAATTGGATATGAGCCAGCAATGTGCGCGCACAGCTCAGAAAGCCAAGCATATCCTGGGCTGCATCGAAAGAAGTGTGGCCAGCAGGTCAAGGGAAGAGACTCTCCCTCTTTACTTGGCTCTCATGAGACCCCACCTGGACCACTGTGTGCAGCTCTGGGGTCCCCAGCATAAGAAAGACACGGACCTGTTAGGGCAGGTCCAGAGGAGGGCCGTGAAAATGGCCCGTGGGCTGGAACACCTCTCTTATGAAGAAAGGCTAGAGAGAGTTGGGTTGTTCAGCCTGGAGAAGAGAAGGCTCTGAGAACAACTTATTGTGGCCTTTCAGTACTTAAAGGGGGCTTATAAGGACAGAGAGAGACGTTTTACCAAGGCCTGTAGTGACAGAACAAGGGGCAATGGTTTTAAGCTGAAAGAGGGTAGGTGCAGATTGGACATAAGGAAAAAATTTTTTACAATGAGGGTGGTGATGCACTGGACCAGGTTGCCCAGAGAAGTGGATGCCCATCACTGGAAGTGTTCAAGGTCAGATTGGACGGGACTTTGAGCAACCTGATCTGGTGGAAGGTGTCTCTGCCTAAGGCAGGGGGGTTGGATTAGATGATCTTTGAAGGTCCCTTCCAACCCATTCTATGATTCTATGATTCTTTAGCAGTTTCAGGTGCACTGCTTAAATGCAGGGGTTTTTTTGAGCAGAACAAATAACTAACTGTTCTCTGAAGACCAAGAAGACTAAACTCTTCACAGATAATCTTAAAGCCCTTCATTTTGTTTTCCACTGATTTCTATGACTCTTCTGGGGTGACTTACTTTCATTAAAATCAAGTAGAAAAGCATTTTAAATATAGGTGGGTTCTGCTACAATATTTAATAGCTTACCTACCATGTAATATTGTAAATATTGTAATAATAAATACTTTATATTGCACTACAGAAAATCTTTGTCTTTCAGTCAATGTTTGGTGTGTGTGAAAGGGAAAAATACAGGGGTATCTTGTTCAATGAATAATATGGTAATTTTTTTCTGCTTTCAGAAAGCAATGTTCCAAGAGATACTATTGCTGAAACATCATGAAGTTGTTATCAGGCAACAGCGGGACTATAGTAAACTTTAAAACTATATTTCTATTTTAATGCTGATTTTTGATACATTCTCCTCATTAACTTGAAGTTCTTATAAGAAGTCTTTGTCCCTGAAATTTTACTTCACCTATGATAAGTGTTATTCCAGAACGTTGGGACGACAATTACAGAGGGGATTCAGGCACTAAATTCCAACATGTGAGTATCCCTGCCATTGAGAGAATATCCATTTTATCTTTTAGTACCTAAACACCAAAGGCTAGTTAAGAAAAAACCAATACATTCACTTCTGGTACCAGGTGTGGTCACTTAAGTCTGGTAATAGTAGGAAGCTGGGAATGCAGCTCCCAGGGAAGTCCCAGTTTATTGTGGTATATTCATAAAATAGGCATCTCCTATCTCAGGTACAGGTAGATATAGGAAATGGCAATGACAGGGTGAACATGTTGTGTAGGCAGTGCTCTGTGCAGTGTGTTGGCTCTTGTGAGTCTAAGATGCCAGTTCTCATGCATGGAAAAGGGAGCCTACTGCTTAATTCAGGGTTGTGACTTCCACTGAAAGCCTATACCTACCAATTTGATGACACAATGCAACATCTAAGATCCTCCATGAACCTAGCCTCAGACTGAGAGGTGATGGGCTGTAACACTAACGTATTCTTAAAATGGCTTTTGTTATTACCAAGTGAATTAGTTATTCTGCAATATTTGTATATACCTGCAGCATCTGGTAATCAACATATCACTAAAAGAGATGAGTCATTCTAGTTCTGGTCAGGAACATACTTTTACACTGAACGCACCGTGCTGAGCAAGATAAAATTCCAAAAATCTAAAGAAATACAGCAAAATTCTAAAATGTTAATGTAATCCTTGACTATAGAAATATTTCTAACTTGGCTGTTACAGAACGATGCTGGAGCAGGTAGGTTTGGGAAAGGCTGGAGAGGTATGGAATGATGTGAGTAAGAATTACACAAAATAGGGCTAGCATATATATAATAGGATATATATCTATATAGCCTATCTTCCTCTCTAGAGTAAAATAATCTCTATCTGTATCATCTGGCAGAGAATAACTGTATTGATCATTACAGTTCATTTGGGGACCCACCAATAACTGAGTCTGATTCATTACTAAGAGCAGACAAAATACATACAGCATTCATTTATGAATTTGTACATATGTAACAGATTATTGGTTGTATCTGAAATAGTATACATTTATACAATATGGAATAAGCGTAAGAAATCCACTTCAGCTTTTTTTTCCAATTTTGGCTGATTCTTCCCTCTTTTTTTTTTTCCTCTCTTAACTTTATTTCTAGGTTTACCTCCTCATGTTAAAATGATAATTCCTCTTGATACTTGCAGATTTTTATTCTTCCCTCTTTTTTTTTTTCCTCTCTTAACTTTATTTCTAGGTTTACCTCCTCATGTTAAAATGATAATTCCTCTTGATACTTGCAGATTTTTACCACCATCTGTATTAATATGGAAATCAGCTTCATTTTTTTTTCAGATTAAACAATCTATCTTTCCGCACATTCATTTCCTGAGGTTTTCAACAAACAGTAAAATAATCATTAATTGTTACAGATATGTAAATTATATATAGCCTGCTACCATAGGAGCTTGCATCCGAAAAAAAAGCTAAAGTTTTAAAGACCCTACTAAAGTTACCTTCAGGAACTGATGCAGCCTCTCGCTTCCATCTGTCAGTGACATACCTGAACTGGTTTGCTGAGCTTGCAGCTAGTGCCACAAGTGGGTAATCGTGAAACCCAGGCTAATGGGAATGGGAAATTCAGAAGCCTAGTTCCATGTGAGTGCATTCTTCCCTCTCATCTCTTTAGACTACAGCACAAAGATCAGGGTAAAAAAAAAAAACCAAAACCAAAACAAAACAATTTGGCAATCCTGCTGGATGCCAAGCAGACACAGTCCAAGCTGAGGGAAAAAACCAAACATCTAAGTAACTAAACATTATGTACAGCATTTTTCTTGATAGCATCTGTCTCTACTTTCTGTCCTGCAAGACACTGTAACACAACAGCACGAACCTACAGGCTAATCTGGACTGTTTTAAAGCTGCATGGTTAAGCTTGGTACCAAACTAATACAAGAAAGTTACATGAGATAAAACACTTCTGAGCTTGAAAATTCCAGCAGCCTTATTCCTTTCATTGTTCTGAGTCCCATCTTTCCTTGTCTTCACATGGAAAGTTATGCTAACAACTGAACATCCCCTTCTCCCCACAATCACTTACTGAATTGGAGTTACATTGTCAAGCAAGTTACTACTTGGCCAAGACAGCATTTTAGATGCTTAATTAAACTCCTGACTGGGCTGAAAAGGAGTCCTAAAAACAAGTCTTTCTTCATTAGTAGCATGTCAATTTCCTCTTTTATGGCCTTTCAGCTGCTTCTTTCAGCTCACCCTCTAAAGCAATACTTCCATTATACATAAGGAAACAAACCAATAACAAAACAGAACCAATAGGCTTAGAAAATGGTAAATATGAAAGCTGAGCATGTACTGCGAAATGAGACCATAATCATAGATAAGAGCAAAAAGTGGTTTACAATTTTTTTTCTCCTGTAAACCTTCAAAAAAAAGCACCTCCCATGTTTGATTCGTTATTAGATACAAAGAAAAGATAACTGTACTTGAGAAACAATTGTTTTTTAAACACTTTTTCCAGTTAATGCGCATTCGCGCGTGTGCATGTATTTTTCTTTCCTGGACTGAACTCAAATATTGAACTTTCTATTTTTTTATTCTTTCCTTCTGAAAGTGGAATTGTTTTCTCTGCTGAAAATATTCCCTGAGCATAACATAAAGAGACTCTTACTTTATTTCTTTGCTTTAAGCATCTTGGCGATTTAATAATTTTATTTGAAACATACTGTGATAAGGTTGCCTGATACCACATGACTTTATTGGGCAAATTGTGCCATAAGAGTCTAATGCTGAACACATTTCCACTCACTAACCATGAAGTGTATTGCCTATGGTGCTTATAGCCATCATAAACAAGTTACTTCCTTGTTCCCCTTTGACAGTCAGCGATTATATGGAATTAAATAGTATTTTCAGGATCATTTTTTGGTCTTGAAGGTCCCCAGGATTTTGGGCATGAATTTTCCCATCTTCTTGTCTTTGGCATCTGTGTCATATTCCTCTTCACTTTGACTTGTATTTTCATCCTTTTTACAGAAGACCTCAAATCTACTGTAGACTCGCTTCTCCTTCCGCATATTCTCCATTTTTTTCAGGAGGGTATCTCTATCCTCTGATGGTTGCCGCTGAAGATTTCGTTTCTGGCTCCCAAAACTCTCTGACCTGTGGATGTTACAGCTTTTCTCCTTCTCACCTTTCCTTTCCAGGCTTGTGGTTGACTTAGAAAGGTCAGGATTACTAGTGGATGGTAGTTGCTTGGCCAGTTCAGCTCTGTTCTTCTGACTGTTTGCAGAGATTTGTTCCAAAATCACCTTGGTATCATCACGGAGGTTGCTGCTGTACAGGATGTTAGCTGTAGATGAAGGAAATCTCCCCTGTGTTGGCTGGCTGCTTTTGGGAGGAAGTGGTGTTGCAAATTTATGGGTTTTTTCTTCCTCCATCATTTCCTGACAGTCCCCTATGGAAGATCGTTTGAGAACCACAGACTGCTTGTCAGATTTTCCACTCTCAGAATTGGGTTCCTCCTCCAATTTCTTTTCACCTTTTGGGTTCAAAAGCTGCTTCAGCCGTAGTGACCCTTTTCTTAAAAATTCCATTGGATTTTGTTCTTGTTTTGAACAGTCTTCCTCAGATTTATTGAGCGAGCTGTCAGATCCTTGACTTCTAGATAAGTTTTCAAGAACTGATGTGGTACTTGTCCTCATCTGTGGTTTCTTCAGTTCTGTATTGACTAATTTTTGAGTGTTTTCTTTGAATGTCACTCTTATTTCTGAGTGTCTCCTACAAATATAAGACTCTCCTTCTCTGGAAGAGCAGGTTTATTCTCTATGGGGTAAAACCGAGATGATAATTTGTCCACCTTAGTGCTAATATGTGCTAGGGGATCTTTACTCAATGTATCAACAAGCTGGGGGGTTGATGAGGCCATTCCAAATGGTCTGTCAGCCTCTCCATGCATTTTGTAAGTACTGCAGGAGTCTTTGGAGTCTAGTACCCTACTCTCCAGGATCTTATATTGCACGGATTTGGTACATTTCTTCTCTGTGTTCTGTGATTCTTCCTGTAGATAACTGGCAACAGCTTTGGTATGAGTGACTGTAGCTCGCTCTGTGTCTTTGCCCACAGCTTTGTACTTCTCTAGAAGTTCTGCCACTTTAGATGAGGCAGCTGTCTTTATAGTTTCATTGTCTTTTGTCAACTCACTGGACATTTGTTCTTTTTGGATCATCTGAACCTTTTCTATTGTGGTGCTAGGCTGATCTAACTTGGCAGCACTAAAAATCAGAGAGGACCTGAGTCTTGAGCTCCTCTGGATCAAAGGATTTATTCTGGACCTAAAGGCATCTTGTTTTGTTATAGGGGTTTCTTCACCTGCTCTATCAGGATCTGCAAATTCTTTGGCACTTTCAACTCCCAGTGACTTGCTATTAAAAGACATAGGGGATTTGAATGCTGGGATAAGGTCAGTGGGGTGCTTTGTGAGGGTATCCCCAAGAACATCATTATATGCCTCTGATTCCATAGGCATTGGAAGACCTTCTTCTGGTTCAGACTGGTATGCACTAAGGTATGAAGAAATCCTCCAGTTACGTAAACCTGTTCTATTTTCCTGTGTGTTCTTGTCTTCATCTTGGTCCTCATCTTTGTCTTGTAAGAACAGGCGTTGTTCCAGGCTTTGTTTCTGTGTAGGAGAAGTCTGGCAAATAAATTTCTGTCCTATATTCTGCCTTCTTAACATCATTCCCATTGGGCCATTGCCTGCAGGATTCAGCTGATCAGAGCCGTGTCTCACTTCCCTGGAAGAATTTGAAGGTACGTAATCCAGCCTTAAGGGGAAACCCTCCTGTGGGAAACTGGATTCAAGTTCAGGATATCTGGGTCCCTCTCCATAGTCTTCCAGTTCATTGAATCCTGGCCTACCACCTCGGATTCTCTCAAAGAGTCCCTGAGGTCTGCCAGAAAGATGGGGATGTTCAAACTGGTACTGGTAGAACTGGTCCTTCTGAAAATGACTAGACTGGATTTTAAATTCATCCATATTGTTCACAAACATCTGCCTGGCATACTGTTTAGAAGAAGCAAAATTTTCAAATGTTCCTTCTGCAAAACTGTGTCTCTTAAAAGCATCCAACTCCAACTGCTTGGAACGGAGAAAACCCCTGACGGGATCCATTTGAGAATTCTCCATTTCTACCTTTTTATACATTCGCATGGCCGACCCCTCCACAGTATGGCGCAACATGTCATCCCGCCTGAAATTTGACAGGAAGTACCTGTCTGGATCAACTCTGTCCATAAAGGAGGGAAAAAGATTGTCATCTCTCTGGAATATCAGGGGTGCTTTTTTTGGAAAGAAAGGCATGTTATTGCCAAAGGGAGTCATGGCAAATGTGTTTTCTGCCTTTGCCAAGACATTGGCTGGAGGAACAAGAGGTTCTGACTGTGCAAACAAAATTCGGAATTCTTCGTCAAAGCTGGCCACCAACTCCCCCTGGAAGATGTGTGCAATGCTTCTGTGAATCTTCTCAAAAGACCACATAAAACTACAAAGAGAAATAGAAGTAATGACAGTGTATTAGCATCAAGTAACTCGATTGTACCACTTTACATTAAACCATTTGTGATTGAGGAGTTTGAGGTTGAGTGGGCTGGGACTGTTTAGCCTAGAGAAGAGACAGCTCAGGGGGATCTTATTAATGTATATCGATACCTGAAGGGAGAGCACAAAGAGGATGGATGGAGCCAGGCTCTTTTCAGTGGTGCCCAGTGGCAGGACCAGAGGCAATGGGCACAAACTGAAACACAGGAGGTTCCGTTTGAACATAAGGAAACACTTTTTTACTGTGCAGATGACTGAGCACTGGAATAGGTTGCCCAGGGACAGTGTGGAGTCTCCCTCCTTAGAGATATTCAAAAACCATCTGGACACGGTCCTGGACAACTGGCTCTAGGTGGCCCTGCTTGAGCAGGCGGGGGTTGGACCAGATGACCGCCAGAGGTCCCTTTCAACCTCAACCATTCTGTGATTCTGTGCAGGAAGGAGGAAGACATTCAGAGTTATGGCATTTGTCTTTCCAAGTCAACCTCTGCTTTTCTGGAAATGGCTAGGTATCTGCCTGCCAATGGGAAATAGTGAATGGATTCCTTATTTTGCTTTGCTGGCGTGTGCAGGTTTGCTTTAGCTATTAAACTGTCTTTATCTGAACCCACGAGTTTTCTCACATTTGCCCTTCCGATTCTCTCGCCCATTCTGCTGGGAGTAGTGAGTGAACATCTGTGTGGGGCTCAGTTGCCTACTGGGGTTAACCCACAACACCTTATAATTACTGTATTTTTTTTTACAGATCATTTACACTCTTGAGGTGAAGGAAGCTTGGCTTCGGGTGTCTGCGCTTGAGGGCTTGTTTAATTGGTGTGTCTACCTCAGTTGCAAAATGGTGTATTTTTCTTGAAAATTGCTGCTCAGTGTCCTTCAGTGAGAAAAACTTTTGTCACTGATGTTCATTTGGAAGTGCTGAAGCACCACTTTACCAATTAACCAGCCTCTTTCTCACTGAAACTGGGACATGTAACATTGCAGGGCTTCTCACCTGTAGTTGCCACTCAGCACCACCATGCAGTCCACCAAGAGGAATTTCTCTTTCACATGGCCTTTGAAGGACATCCCTGTGCGGCAGTAGTAGGTTGGGCCAGAAACTGTCCTCACCCTTAGGAACTGCAAACCAGACAAGGCACTGACTCAGTTGGAAGCTCTTACTTCCCTCCCCCTGCCCCTCCTTCCCCTTGCTCTTTTAACTTCCATCCTGCCACCATTTTTATACTTCAGCTCTAGTGATTATGTCTGCATATATAATGGATAGATAAACCCATTTATTAGTGTGTCCTCAGCCCTTTATTGTTGTGCCAGCTCTCCTAGCTTTCTTCATACTCATCTTTCATTAGGTTCTGGCCCATTTTCCCCTTTCTCAGGTTTTTACTGCCATAACAACCCTCTGTGTCCCAGGACATATCCCCCTCAGGATGCAAATCAGGGGCAGGGCAGGTCTTTGGTTTGCTCACCTCCACATAGTTAAGATTGACTCTACATTTAGCAGCTGTATCGAGGAAAAGTTGAGAGTTCATTTCATCCAGCAAGATGTACACAGGCACTCTGCGAGCAGCAGCATCCAACACCTCAAACAGCAGATCCACATCAGTGAAAATGTCCATCACTATGGCTACCACCTAGGAAAAGAATGCGAGAAAGATATCAGCAATCTGTGCCTGCTTATGCCCTGACTGATCAAATTCCCCAGCACCTCACATTCCAAAGCTGCACTGCTGCACAGTCTCCATTTCAACTTCCTTTTTAAACAGGAACCTTCCCATTTAAAGGTTCCTTTAAACATTGTGGGCCCCAGAAGTGGATACAGAATTGCTATCGAAGGTGCATATTCCGTATGTGAGGGTGAGAGGTGAGGGAAAACCTCACTGCCACTGAGAGTTCCCTTACTCATTAATCCAATGATAGCAGGTATTTTTTGGTCACGTAACCACACTGGAAGGTTGTATTGAGCTGCTTGGCCACTACCTGCTCACCCTCTCCAACACACCTGTGCCATTTTTAGATAAATTCCTGGCCAACTTTCAGTCAGCCACTATATAGCTGCGTCTGTATGCTGATAATATAGGAAGTGGCTTCAAAGCTCTGTCTCCCTGTCCTTCCCAATTCTTATTTTATCAGTGAGTATAAATACCTGTTGGAAGGGTGTAAGGAAGATGGAGCCAAACTCTTCTTAGTGGTACCCAGTGAAAGGACAAGACACAAGACACAAATTGAAATATAGGAATTTCCAGTTAAACATAAGAAAAACCTCTTTTACTGTAAGGGTGATTGAACACTGGAACAGGTTGCCCAGAAAGGTTGTGGAGTCTCCATCCTTGGAGATACTCAAGGACATGTCAAGGACAGGCTAGATGGGGCTCTGAGCAACCTGATCTAGTTGAAGATGTCCCTGCCAATTGCAGGGGGGGTGGACTAGATGACCTTTAAAGGTCCCTTCCACCCCAAAGCATTAAAATAAGAAAAAAAAAAAAAAAAGTCCTAAGTAACCTTCTCTAATCGCCCCTGCTTTGAGCAGGGGGGCTGGACTAGACCGTCTCCAGAAGTCCCATTCAACCTCAACTATTCTGTGATTCTGTGAACTCTTGGTATATTTTAGCATGGCCTTACACACTTTTCCATGAGACCAGAGAGCAGAGGCTAGCTTTGGTGCAGTAAATGGTAGTTTTAGAATCGTCCTTCCCCTCTGTCAGGTCCTGGGAGCAAAGTTAAGGGAATTAGCAGAGGACCTGATGCATTCTGATTCATCTTTTGCACACATATAACTTTATCTCTGCTCTAGTTGGGCTCTTCACTGTCTCACCTGTTGAGCTGCTCGAATCATTCTGCGAGCCTCCTCCTTAATGCTGGGATTGTCCGGAGGTGGTGGTTGCACGAGGGTTGTCACCTCTGTTCCCCTGAACCCAAAGACCATTGGCCAGCCCAGGTCAAGCTCAGGAACAGCGAGGTCTGAGTTCATGGGCCAGTAAGTCCCAGAGGATCCATCCATGTCATTGTCACCTGCTGTATCTGTGCTACCTTCCTGATGGGCATACTGGGGTTTCTGGAGATTCTGTATGATGTGATCCACCTCTGAGTTGCAAAGAAAATCAGGGGCTGCTTCCTCTGCCAGGAAGCGTTGGTAACTTTCCTTGCCCTCTTCAGTAAGCACATCCAGAGCTAAGCGGTAATACTCCTTGTAATGGGGGGGAAGATAGTTAGGGTCAAGGGGATTGTCCCCCTGTGAGGAGCTTTGAGATCGACGAGCCATGAGGGGAGGGAGAGCTGTAAGAAAAGAACCAACAATGAGAGCAGTTTCACTCCAGTGACACATCTGTCCTCATAAATGGTGAGAGTTGGGGGTTCACAATGGCAAAATCAAAAGGGAAGAGATTCAAAACACACAGAGTAATGTTGGAAAAAGTTCACTGCGAATGGATGGGGAGCCTTAAATTAGGCAAAGGTGGTAATCACTTAAGCATTACTTAAACAGAGTTAATTTTGGGGGGCAAAATAAAGAACAAATCAAATCAGGCAGCACTGCGATGAACAAGGATGATGCATCTAACAGAATGCCCAATTTTCTTTTTTAGGCTGCCGATTGCTAAGCTTAAATTTGTCCTTTGTTTTAGAGCTACCTTCCCCCCAAATGAACAATGCTGCTGGTTATTATCTGGACTCCATTAAAACTCATTTCCAAATGCTACAAAAATTATTTACTGTGCGTAATATCGCACTAAACCAAAAAGCACATGCATGTATACAAACGCACCCTCTGAATCCTTAGAAATTGAGTGTTATAATCACCTCAGCATATAAATAGAAGCAGGGTATGAGTGGAATGCAGGCAAGTATAAGGATATCCTGCTGTTGTAACATGGTCAGAAGTCAGACAAGTCTTCATGAGATCCATGAAGAAATAAAAACCAAGGGACATGATTGCTTCTTCAGTCTCTTGATGTTGGGAAAAATCTGAGCTGAAGGGGCTCACAATATTTGACAACCGTCTGTAGGGAACCTATTATTTGAGACTAAAGACAAATTTTATTTTAACCATTTTTTGGAAGAAAAGCTTGTTGTGCCACAAATACAACTCAATAAATAATATCCTACTGATCTGCAAAGAACTCCAAAGCCCTTTGGCTTCTGAGCCTCAATTAATGTCAATGCTCGGACATACTTTTCCTGGGACTCCAGCACTGACATGCCAACAGAGGCTCCCTCATAATCAAAAAAGAGTGTGGCTGTCCTTGACCACTCATGCAAAGTTACATTAATAGGAAGTGTGAGTATAGACAGTGATATTGTCATTGCCATCCAAGACATCTGCTCCCAAAATGGAAGGGATTGCCATGGATGTGGGAGGAAGAAAAAAAGACTTCAGGCCCATACTATCACTCTTGTTAACAGCTGTAAGTATAAAGCTAGAATAGTTTCAAGATAAAGCCTGAGTGGACTTTCTTATCTGACTACCTGCATAGCACAGATCAGTCCTATGTTACTCCTGCCTCAAACTCCCACAAGCTACTCCTGCTTCAAACTGTAACTCCTAGTAGAGCTGCATGATACAACAGGAAAAAATATGGTCTTAATATAAAGATAGCAACTGCATCTAACAGGTCTCTGTGTGAAGTGTTCCAATAGATAATTGTCTTTATAGTCTACGCACGTAGCCTTATTTGTAGTCTGAATTGTCTAGATTTATCTTCCCACTCTAATTCTCATTTTATCTTTTTTCTCTTAAAATAAAAAGCAGTCCACTGTATACCTCCATTTTGGTGTGCTCAAGTCACCTATGTACCTGCACTTAACTATTTTAGTAGTGTCTTTAGCTTTTCATTTTAAGGAAATGCTCCCAGAGTTCCATTCATTCTTGGATATGAGATCAACATATTCAACATATTCAGATGTAACCCATAAATGGGATGAATGGTCAGCTAATGCTAAGCATTATTAGGTAAGGAACAGAGAAAATAACACCACTACACAGATTCAGAGGGAGCTCACAACCTAAATGTGTTGTGAATATGAAAGTCTCATTCCTCACATCTTGGAAAAGGCTATTATAAATCTGAACTATGACTCTTTAGTCTAGAGATGTCTACAAAATATGAGCAGGGACAGCTGTCCACTTTCTCCTCCCGTACAAGAACTAAAAGGGCATAAAATTAAACTAGCAAGTAGTGGGTTCAAATTGAACACCAGGAAACACTTTTTCTCAGTTGTAGTTACTCTGCAGAACTCCTTCCCACAGGATGTTGTAGAATGGTTAGAGAAAGTATGTACAAAGAGGACAGGCACGTGATACTTTGTCAGAACACTTTTCCACCATGCCACAATTTGTGGCTGGAAAGGTAGGTCAGGAAACACAGGGGGAAGGCTAAGTAGGGTAGTTTTTACAATAAGAGGAGTTGCTTTAGTTCCCTAAGGATTTGTGGTAGTCAATATATTCATGAATAAGCAGGAAAAATAGTACCAGTGAAGAAATAAATTTGATGCAAAAGCAAAATGATCCTCTTGGTTTTCTCTAAGCCACTGGCCACAGGGAGAAAACAAATATGGAGCTGGAGGGACTCCCAGTATGACTGAATATAGTGATCATAGGTGAAGTGGGACAGATGGTCCCAGGAGGGTCACTGGCCTGTGTGGGATGTTCGAAGGATACCTGTGCTTCTCCTGTAACATGGAGAGAGACATCTGCACTTGACTGTGCTGCCAGAATAAAAAATTCCCTCTCAGGAGGGCGTTCCCTCCTCCCGTCTGTGTTGGAGGGTGTCATTTCGCTGTGTGTGCACTAAGGAGTGTTAGCCTCAGCTGTGAAACGCAGCGGGTGACTGCTCCCCTGAGCTTTGTGCGGGCTGGGCGGAGGGCGCGGCGTGGCCGGAGGGCAGGCAGGAAGCAGGTTTGTCGGCACCTAGCCCGGGACACTTTTTGGGCCACCTGCCCTCACGCTGCGTAGCCCAGACCATCGCCCACCTAAGGCCGTGCTGAGGAGCCTCCAGCCTCCGAAGAATCGGCAAAGAGGTCAGAACTGACCACAGGGAGCCAGGGCCGGGCGCGCTCGGCCAGCCTGAGCGCGCCAGGGGCAGAGAGGCCGGGGCGGGGCAGCCTGGTCTCCAGACGTCACCTTTACCTGCGAAAACAGATCCCGAGGGCCGCAGCGAACACCTGAACTGGATTGCACCAAACACTGGAGCATGAACAAACCTCTGGCTGACTAATAAGGCTGGAAATTCTGCACCGTCACCCTCTTTGGCTCACAAGGAGAGAACTAAGGAGGGAGATGCTGTGTCTTATTTCAGCCAGCTCCTTCTTAGAAGTTAATGCTGAGAAAGCACCATCAGATCCTGCTTGGAAAGAACCTGCAGCCTGCTGAGTGTGCCATTCCTGTGTTTGCCTAGGCAAGGTTCTAGTCATTAAGCTGCCTCACTTCCTTCAGGTGGTTTTAATTTCTTCCAAAATAGATGCACAGATCTGAGAACTGTGAAATAAAAACCAGAAATTACGTTTCTACCACCATAAGCCGAAGTAACTCATAACCTGCAAAGATATAAGGGCAAGTCCCTAACAAGTGGGCACAATAAATTTAAGAGTAGCTACAATAAGTGTGTTTGACCATTACACTGTTCCCAAGGAAAGGCAGGAAAACTGTAAAAAAAGTATCCTTTCCCCCCCAAGAAGACCCTAGATTACCCTGAGCCTAAGTGTGAGGACATTTCTAGAGTTTGCTCACCTATATGTGTGTATATATATATATATATATATATATAAGTATAGCTGTCACGTACTTTGATTCCCCTGAATAGATCCTCATTTTTATTCTAGAAATGAAGTTCAGGAAGAATCTGAAGATTTCATACTTTTGTCTGAGTTGTGTGACAACTTGCTTGCAGCAGCAGTTGTAACGGAGTGGGCAACCTGCTGTGCATCCACGGATGAACTCTACGCTGTGTTCACAGACGTTCAGTGCCCCCCAGGTAGTGCCAGAGTAATAGCACTAGTGCTACACAGAAAGTGTGTGTATGCAATGAGGCGAATACACTCAGGACACACTTGTCTTAGCTGCATGGATAGTATAGATAAGCAAGAGCAGCAATTTCAACCACCTACGCACACTGCACTCGCTGTGTATGCATTGGAGTATATCTCTTCATAGAATCCTTGATAGAAGTACATAAATTCTGGTTTGAAACAGCTTCAATGATAATTAAGCTGGACTTTAATTTAAAAAATCTTAAATATTCTGCAACTCTTAAAAGAAAACTAACTTACTGAATAGGACTCCAGAGAGTGAAAGCACTTGACAGTTCTTGGGAATTATCTGGAATGCTTTCAAAAAGATATGGTCCTGTTTGCACTTGTGATGCATCTGCTGTTATGTCAGAAGTGGAAGAAGTGTCTGCACCTTACGTTTGTGCAAGACAGGAAGCTGATGGTCTAGTGATATAGATTTAGATTCTGGGGAATAAAAACAATTTTGAGAGTTACTGGTTGGGTCTATATCTGTCAGGAAAGATTACCATAGCCTCTGGATCCAAATGAGAGTTAAAGAAGTTGAAGTTTCTGCATGTAAGAAGAAAAAGCTTGAGCAAATCAAGATCTCTGTATCTGTTACTTCAAACACACAGGCAGATGAGGACACTATATGGGCAGGGGTTTGTTTATGGAAGCAGAGAGGTGTGCTACAATGTTCAGTTTTATTCCATATGGCAGTTTTCCTTAAAGCTACTCATTAGAGTGCTTTCTAGTTAGTAGCTATTAACATTTATACAGATAGAAAAAAATTTAAATTATGGGTAAGGTGATGTGATGTGTTTTCTTCAGGATGCAGAATTTAGCATCTTCATCAATGACATGGAGAGTGGGATTGAGTGCACCAGCAGCAAGTCTGCAGATCACACCAAGCTGAGCGATGCAGCTGATTTGCTTGAGGGAAGGGATGCCATCCAGAGGGACCTTGAAAGGCTTGAGGAGTGGGCCAATGTGAACCTCATGAGGTTCAACAAGGCCAAGTGCAAGGTCCTGCACCTGGGTCAGGGCAAACCCCAGTATCAGTACAGACTGGGGGATGAAGGGATTGAGAGCAGCCCTGTGGAGAAGGACTTGGGGGATACTAGTGGATGAAAAGCTGGACATGAGCTGGCAAGGTGCGCTTGCTGCCCAGAAAGCCAAGCGTATCCTGGGCTGCATCAAAAGAAGTGTGGCCAGCAGGTCAAGGGAGGTGATTCTCTCCCTCTCTACTCTTCTCTCATCAGACCCCACCTGGAACAC